CTTTTAGGATTTGGGAGGAGCTATACATTATTCTTTATATAAAAAAATATTACACTTTATATAAAATTAAATCTTTTAATGAGTTAATTTTCTTTTCTTTCAGAGATAACAAATGGATCTGCAGAGTCAAAATATACTTAGAATTTATTGAATTTTTTCGATTTTAATTCCAGCTTATTAGCGCTTGTGATGATGCCCGCCAATCGCTTTTTCATGATCATTAATAATCTGTATATGCAATTTTTCGAGTAATGAGATGACAATAAGATTCTCTCAAGATGTTTCGTCACCTTCATTTCCGAAATATTCAAAATCGCTTTCGAAAGCAATTCTTCGAAAGCTCATTCTTATCCAAATATTTTTAATTTGAAAAATGTTTACGATGGCATATAGTATCGATCAAAATTCTGATTCGTTCACAGTTCAATGATAATATTTTTATTTTACAAAAAAAATCATTACACAATTCACAAAATTTATATCCTATGTTTAGATAATGAATCGTGTGAATATCATGATAGGAACAATCTTAAAATTTTTATCAAATAAAATCCTATCTTTTATTTGCTATTTTTTACATTATAGTATGCGATATCCCAGATTTTCGAGCAACACTATATGATCTCTTAAAGCATATTTTGATTAATTTACGAAGTGTTGTTAGTAAATTATTAATGCTAGTAAACAAATAATGTTAAAAAATTTCGTTGACTAAAAAAAATTAGAATAAAAGAAAAGTAAATGATAGAATTTGTTCGCGCACGCGCGAATAAATCATTAATGAAGAAATATCACAAAAGTTGAACAAAAAAAAGCATCGTACAAAATTGGACGAAAAAAATATTTAATATTGGTAAAAAATAACGCATCATATGCTTCGTCTTGGCAAAGACGATAAATAAATTTTAGTAGAATTTTCCTGCATACACCAAAGAAAGAATAATAAAATAGTAAATTTGATGAAAAAAAATATCACGCATTCTATTACCACGAATACTACTACATATAAGGCAAAGCAACACGTGACAACGTGTGCGTAAATTTAAAAAGGATATACGAAGTTCGATCGTATTTTCGCAATTTAGAATAAAAATTATTAGGCGCATAATCGACGCGTCTATCAAAAATATTAAGAACCAATTTACACTTACATTTTCGAAACGGTCGTATTCCGAATCGCAACTATCTATCTATCTCCGGAAGTACAATTCGATGTTGTCCATTGATCAAACGGATCTTTTGATCTTACGCTTTAATTCAGCGACTCGACTCAATCTATCTTCGAATCCCGTGGGATCAGGATCGCACTTGTGTGTGGCTGCTCGACACTTTTGCGCGAATCTCCTCGAAGAAACTCGCAATCGACGAGGCTCGCGCAAACGTGTGATTAATATAATATAATATGACACTTCATCACATATGATGTATATATATAATATGTGTATATATATATATATATATATATATATATATATATATATATATATATACACGCGTACGTATATATATTATAAATAATCAATTAAAGGTTGCTTTGAAAGTAAGTAAAAATATATATAGATATATTATATACTCGTATATATATATTTTTTTCATTTTCCTCTTTTCTCTTTGTCTCATATCTGCACCATATATATTTCTCGAGGAAATGCATATCGCATCTATATAATATTTATATATATATATATATATATATATATATGTATAGCTTTGTTTATATCTCGTACATATATATCTACTTTGTGTGTGTGTGTGTGTGTGTGTGGATGTGTGAATTACATGTTGCACCATGCGCGATATATAAATATGATCTTTTCTCACTGGGAGAAAACAACGACGAGTGCGACTCATGATAAATATCGAGATAAATAATTATATATTATTTTCTTTAATCCGAATTTTTCTTTACGAGTTTTATGTGCTATAAGAAATACGTATGCTCGTAAAATATAACTATAAATTAAGAAAAGATTTTTAAAAAGAATTTAAGAAAATTGCTCAAACTCAATTTAAAACTTTGAAAACAATAAAGAAATAGAAAATCATTTTATTTTAATGAAAATTTTAACAGTTTATAGAATTTAAAACACTTATTTATGTAAAGCGTTAAATTGAGATACATTTAAGATTATATAATATTAAACTTTATGTACAAATATATAATTGCATTAAAATTTGTTTCTATAAGATTTATAAAAACGGAGCACAATTCTCTTTTTCATTAAGCTCAACTTTTACATTAAGAATTTTTGGAACTATACAAATATGTAACACACACATTAATATAATACATAAAATATTCATATATTACATCTGATTATTTAATATTAATTATATTATTATTAATTATAATTATCTTTTACCATAACATAATTGCGCAGATATTGCATTGAATCGCATCACCAAAGATTTTATCGCGAGTCGTACTCGTCGGTCATAATATTTTTTATATAACTTGCTCCTAACATTATATATATATATATATATATATATATATATATATATATATAAGTCGTCCTTCGTCGTCGAATCATTTTCTTCGCACTTTTACACCAAAAGATTAATTATTTTCGTTAGAAAGATCATAAAGAGCTATCTCAACCCGCTTTGCAAAAAGATTCGATAACTTTCTCCCTTATCTCACTACAGTTTTACTATTGTCCGTTATGCGTAAGGTTTCATCGCCAAGACTGACATCTATTTGCCTTACAACAAAAATTAAGATAATACTTTATAAAAGCTTACACAACAGATTATCTTGACATAAATAAAAGACTTGGGCAACAATAACTTCCTGAGTAACATGCATAATTGATATATAGAAAAATTGAAGAAATAAAAGACGAGAAATATAAATAAATTTCAATTTAAAAACTATATATTTAGAGATTGTATCGATTAAGGAGATGAAGGAAACTATAAGACAGTGCCGTCTAATTTCCAAGCGCATGTTATTCAGGAATGAACCCTTTACAATAATGTGATTTCTGCGTAAATTTTTATAAAAATTTATCAAAGTTGAAATTCCGACAATAATAAGGCTTAAATTCTAAAAAATGGAACACGATGAATCCTTTTTTTATAAAATATTAATATCGTCGCTATCCTGCTCTTCAAAGCGCAAATATATGAAACGATATAAAATAACAAAAAGCGAACAAGGCTTCCAAGAGCAAAATAGCGAGAAAACACGAAAACATCAAAGAAAGTGAAAGAAAATGGACGGACGACGACGGACAACGAATTAGACAATCACGTAGTACAAGCCAGGCCGCTTGCCTCTCCTTTCCTCCTATATTTCGTTTGTATAAAAAGTCTTAAACTATTCCTAAGCCTACGTAATCCGAAGCATTCGAAATGAGCAACGAGCCTTTTATTCACCGTTTTTCTCATGCAACTTCCGATTGCGATCTCATCTTTTTTTATTTATTCATCTCGCGCGGCATCCCGTTCTGCGTTTTCTTTTGGGTTGAAAAAGAGAGACGTTTCGTCGATCTTTCTCGCTTAATACATAAAATATAATTATTGTAAAGAGAGAGAGAAGGAACAAATATATAAAACATCTATATTCATTCAATCTCACATAAACCGTATTTTATATATGTATAAAATTTATATATGTCAATGGAAATTGTGTTTTGAAACAAGATATTTTGTATCTTTTTTTTTAACGATGTATCTGGAGCTAAAATTAGTTATCCGATTTTTACGTGTGATAACAATTGAACAATCGTATTCTGCTCCAAATATCTGATGAAAGTACATCTATGATGCAATATATTGATAAAATTTTCTAACTCTACTTGCACCATTTCTTATCTGATACATTTAAAAGCAATAATAGCGAATAAAAGAATGAATCACACTGAATGAGAAATCAGGCTGATTTCCATTCATTTCGCCTTCCATACTTACAATGCAATTTATCTAATCAGATCAAATCTGTGTCGGCTTACATTTATGTTAGCTTTCTATTGATTACGGTAGCGCGAGAGGAATTCGAAGAACTATCGATTTAAACGTGTGAAAGCGTTCCCAATATATTCTCAACATTTACCGACCGCTCTGTAAACGTGAGATTTCTCAGGTACGCATTTGTATTTATTTTGTTTCGTAATAGTTCGGATCAGAACACAACTAAGAAATAATTGCAAAAGAGTAAATATAAATGTAAGAAATTAATGACAATGAATAATAATTATTCCATTGATGTACACAATAGAATTATAAAAAATAAAGATAGGAATAAACGTTTCCTACATTCTAATTTTTACCGAAAAAAATTATTATTCAATTGTGTTTCATCAAGAGTGCATTTTTCCTTGTTCATTAATAATCTTACTTTTCATTTCTTCTTTTTCTTTCTTTATTTTTAATTCTTGTTACGCCCTGATCTTTCCTCTCCCGTCACCGTTATCATTCGAGGTCGTATTTAGAATCGAGATAAATCAGCGAGAAAGATCGAGTCGATGCATTAATCGCAAGGGCATACATTGAATTTTTGGCAAGAAAAAAGCTCACGTACATTTGAGGAAAAAAAAGAGTGTAGAAAAAGAAGGAAACAAAGACAACGATAAGAAACTAGGGACAAAAGTGATCGGAAACGACAAACGTGATAACTCTTCTCCCCACTCACAGACAATCTGAAATCACAGATAATATTTATATCTCTTCTTCTCTTATTTATCAATCTGCTTGTGGCGCAGCGTCCGAAATCTAACGTATAAAAAGAAAGTTCTTACTGACAAAACTTTGTCGGGATCCGCTACGGAATGCGATCGGGAAAAGACGACGAGATATTCAATTCATCATCGCGTGTTTTAAACACAAAGAATTGACCGCAAAAATTGAGGATCTACTTTCTTAATGGTTTGAAGAAATTTGAAGTACAATCAGACATGGAACGTTGTAGCAGATAAAAATTTGTATATGTAATTTTCATAAAAATTAATATATATATATATATATATATATATATATATATATCATGTGCAATATTGAGTATAGTTTAAAAAGAACATTTCTTTAAATTTTCCATAAAAAAATGGATTTATCGAGTTCCCTCGCTTTTCAATTATTATCAAAACGATATAAAGACGCTTTATTCATATAAGATTTCGCTTGATTATATTCTATTATTATTGTAATTTAGCAAATTACATAAAAATACCGCCGTCTTCAATGCACGCGCTCTTCATCGAACTCGCGTATGTTTGCGTATGAAGCATTTAGGAATTTCGAGTAATAAGAAAGTGATCATTTAATTTTATTGATCACGTTTAACCCTTAAAAACCTAATGTATTATGACAATTGCATTGAAAATATGCAGATCTTGATTCATAACGGTGAATTAAAATTAATACATTGAAATTAACAAATGTAATTTTTGTAGGAGAAACAGAATATATTACATTTAATAAAGGCATTTAACAACATTGAATAGTAACACGTGAACTAGTTTAATTTATTGCACAAAAACTATACGATTCATTGTGAATCTTTCATCAAAAAAGCATTAACGTATTAAACGCTTTTACAGTAGTATAAATACTGTAATAGCTATAAATGAATATACCACTCTATTATAGCTTCGACTTATTATATAACTATAGCAAAAATGTTAGATTTTCATGAATATTTCATGAATGATATTTTAATTATCTTTTGTCAATAGTATGATTTAAACCATATAGAATTGATACAATCAATCCTACACAAAATCGAGCAATAATGAACACTAATTCAAAGCTAAATTTAAAACTATATTACCGCTCGATACGAGCTAATTAATTTCTGAAAATGTTTCAGGCTGTTAAGGGCTAGACGGTCATAGAGATATGACTACCCTGATTACCTGAACGATAAAATCTACGCGAATGAAGCGAGTTTCGCTATCCCCGTCGCCGAAACAACGACGCGTCCCAACGCCGATGATTCCGAGCGGATCAATTCTGCGCGATGACGAGCGTCAAGATTAAAAACATATTTGGCGGAGAACAAAATCGGTGGCGGTAATGTCGCGCCATCATTCCGCTGTAATCTCCGCATAAACCTTCGACAGGGCTCTCTGCGTTGTATAAATCCTGAGGGAGCGTTGATGACATCTGTCGTTGGTGTCGTTGGTCCTGTTAAGTGTCAGAGGTTTCCAAACCTTTTTGGTTTATAACGATTCTTTGAAACTAATATTCTTTTCACGTTTGCTCTATATGTCGAGATAAGAAAGTACAGATATACGAAACATCTAATTATTATTTGGTAAACATTCCGAAAATAAAGTCAAATCCTGAATCTTTTAGAAATTTAAGCAATTAACTACTATTAGCTTACTAAACAGAAGCAGTCAATTACTTTTAACTTGATATTCTGGTATCATTTCTAAATTCTGATTGAAAAATGTTTGAATATTTAATTAAAAAATCGCTGCTGATATAAAGATTCAATTTTATGAAATTTTCTAAGTTTTTAATTTGTTATTAAACCCTGTGAAAGAAGACTTGCTTATCTCTTTCTTGTATCTTTTCAGATAAAGACCATCTTTTAAAGTATGACGTTTGGAAACCTCTGTGTTAGTCAAAGCGATCATTACCACATCACGATAACGCGTGTACATCTAATTCTATCACTAATAGTTCTTATGTTTATTACTGTTGCGGCTATTAAACACGTTTTTTCATCGAAGGAGTTTTCGTGGATTTCGTGACTTACCTATCTATCGTTCGATGATGCTCAAGCATCTGGTTGCACGCTTTCGATTGCGCGCTTTTATGATGTCTATTCGCGCGAGATATTGTTTCCCCTGACTATGTGCATAATTATTGTACGTGGTTTTGGAAAATGTTCCTGAACGTTCTGTTTCACAGTGGAACATGTTCGAACTCATCAAGAAAGGCTTGCGTGATGCAATCGGATTCGCCAATCGTGTCGGCGCTTGTAGCAGCAGAATTCACGTCTGCGTAAACGTATTCGGATTCAATCGGATACTGATCGCGACGCTAATCAGCATGCCAATATTACGTATGCGACATGAGCTGATTCTCGTGGGGTTGTCGCGCAATTGGCATTTGGTTCTGAGCGTAAATCTGAAATTGCTTCTGCTGGGATTGCAGTTGCGCGAGCGCCGCGGGTGGCGCAAACGCGGGATAGGCCAAGGTGGTGGTTAGGCACTCGTTGTGTTCCTCTAAGGAGTTCTGGGCATAGTGCAGCACGAGATGTTTCAGGCTCTGATGGATGTTGTAAGGTTCGGCAAAACCATAGCCGCGCTCGGTGCCGTATATTATGCAATGTTGTACCACGCCGTTACACCTGCAACATTGTAATTCTCGAGTAAGTCATGACACAAACTACTAAATTATATATATATCTTGAAAATATAATATTTTATACTATAGATTTCGAATAATAAAAAAATTTTATTATTTTACTTATCACATGGAATGACGAATTATTTGATAAATACTATTATTCGTGTGTTATATTCACGGTATTCACAGTATTTATTCTAATTTATTTTTATAGATTCGAAACATGATGGTCATTGACGGCAGAAAAAAAGACTTACACTATAGAGAGCGCGTACTGGCCCGTTCTTGATCGGCGAACAAGAAAAGTACCGTCAGGTTTGCCCTTGAGAATGCGATCAGCATCGGGACGAGAACCCTGTAGATAGAGCCACGTTTTCTCGTCGGAATGGATCGCAAAGTCCTTATTCTGTTTTATCCCATTTTTCTTCAACCATCTGTGTTTGATACAAAATGCAAACAAATTAGGTAGTTAGATAATTTTCCAATGTAAATGAAAAGAAATATTTGATGCTTAAAACAGGATACGTACAAAGCGTAGCGATCCCTTTGTCGCGCGAGCTGTCCAGTCTCCGATTTCAACCTACATGTTTCTCTCTCGAGGGTTCTATTATAAGCAGTTTGTTGATTCAGATTCTCTTGCAATTGAATCTTGCTGTCTCTTAAGGCCTTTAGTCTTCGTTGCAGCAACTCCGAATTATCCGTTAAACTGTAATCATTTAACGCAATATCGATTAATAATTCTATTGATTTTGATATGTGCAGAATCAGAGTCTCATGAATATCATTATGCTTTTTATACATATTATGTTACATATTCTTTTAATCTCAATATAATTCTCAATGGAATATGTAATATCTTTGAATAAAATATAAAGATGCTTTGAAAAGTGAAGAGTACAATACTCACGTGGAAATCTCGTGGGGCTGAGCTTCTTTACGGAACTCATCTTGTAATCTAATCTGTTCTTCAAACATCTTGATGGCTTCCTGAAAGGCTTCCATCGCCTGAGTCTTCAGCTCAACTTCACTAGATGTTTTGGTATATAAATCCCAACAATTGTGGTACTGCCGGATACCGTCACTTACTTCCTTCTCTAAATCAAGAAACTTCTGCAGCACCTTTGCCATATCGGTCGTATTCGTGATTTCATCCTCCTGTTTTTCGATAAATAATATAAAATTAAGCTCAAAGATGAAAACCATCACTTTGTAAATTTAATCTGGAATGTTCGTGAAAGTTACCTGCTGAAATCGCGATACCGGGTAGAGTAGCTTAATGTCCAGCACGGCGTTGTATTGTGCGAGGGAGCAATTTCTATAGTAATCGACCAGCTCGATGACCGAATGGAAGTTGTAAGGATCCGAAAATCCATATTTCCCATTTCGATGGCTGATCTTGATAAGTTTGTTGGTCCCGCCCTTACGTAGTGTTAAAGTGTACTCGCCGCACTTGGAAGACGCATTGCGTACCAGAAAGGTGCCATCCGGTGAATCAATCATCATCTCGTTCACATCATCTCTCGTGATGTCACCCCAATACCATTCGGCTTCTTGAAGCGTGCGCGGCCTGGGATTTTTTCCAATGTTAATTATAATTATTCATTATCTAATTATACTGTTTAATTATATAAATTTTAAATAAAACAATTTGTATGCGTAAAAGGAACAAAACTAAAATTACAGTATCATGGTAGGTTGACAGAAAAATTCGAATTCGTTGCAGAATTAAAACTACAAACAAAAATTTGTAACCTAGATTAAAATTTGGACCGAAATCAAAACCGGACTTGAGAATCACCTGTGTGGTTGTTGGTCCGCGCCAGGTTGGACCGTTCTGTCTACAGCATCTCCTTCGAGACTCGGGTCCACGATTGAAAAATGCGGTCTCGAAACTTTACGCGGGGGTAATTGAGGAGGACTGGCAAACTCAGGCAACCTCTCGTTCCAATCGCCGTGTAACAACAACAATTCCATTATGCGTATATGAGCTTCCGTGTTGTGGACAACTTGGCTGTAATAAAATATGTGTGTAATTCTTTATACTTAAATATTATTACAGGTAATCTTAAGCACAATTTTATCTATAAATAGCAACGCAATCGCACAAAATCAGACAACTTTACTCATAATATAATAATATATTATAATCATTATATAATATAATTATATATCTTGAAAGTAACCAGAGTTATACAATCTACATGACGTTTCTTTTGCAAGAGAATTTAAACAACACACAATAGTAACGAGTTAAAAAGTTGAACTCTTTTAACTTAATTAGTCAACGAGGCGGAAAACCAATACCATCCTTGATGCTTTTTTTCAAATCGTTGTTAGTAAGAAAAAAAAACATCGTGTGAACCACGTTCTACTCTCGACTCTTCCACTGCAATTGGAGAAATTCATGTGGTACTCACATGATTCGCTCCCAAGGCGGCCTGAGAAATATGTGGCAGAGCATTTGCACGAGGATGGTCGGCTGTTCCGTGTAGGCTCTCGCGTGCTGCAACTGGCAGATGCGACAGAAGTGCGCCATCAAATGACACAATGTGCTACGATGATGTTCCGGTAGCTCGGCTACTAATTGATTGAGGCGCGCCGCGCATTGCTCGTCGCTTCTCATACCTACACAAACAATTCACGATCAACATTATGTCATTAGAGTTATATCTTGATGAAATCTCGAATTAATTAACAAGAATATTTAACTGTAAAATATATACGTATTATATACTCACTTGACGCCTCTAGGAATCTGTCGTACCATTGTACAGGGATCACCGGATCCGGCAATTCTCGCAGGAACTTCTTCAGGACACTCGCAATGCACTGCGGAGTATACGGACTTAAATCCGCGTTGTAGACATCTGAAAATATTATATCACGTGCGTTTTGTTTTATCGTCGATCGAGATTACTGATATATACTTCTAATGATAACAATGTTACGTGTTAACGATTAATTATAAACGCGCGTGAAAACTTTTAACGGGAAAGTACTTCTGATTATAAAAGTTTTGTTCATTTTTTTTCGAGATATCTGCATGATCCTGTTTGCTTTTTACGAATTGTCAATTTCTTGCGTAACAAGATTTCACGCGTTGAGAAGTTTGATTTATTAATCAGAAGTATGTAAATAAAAAAAAATATAGAGTGCATTTATTTTAGGTATATTATAAAAATTGCAAACATTAAATTGATAAATTCTGAATTTGTAGAAAGCGCTTTTCCAGTGTCGGGGCAAATAATTGCGCGTGCTAAAACGCTATAAAGCATCAAGTGCGACGTGAAATCTAGATCTAGAATCAATGCATAGATCTAGAATGAATGCACGATGTAGATAGATATAAATAGCAGTAATATATCTTTCTCAGAAAATGTGGGAAACTTACTTAACGCCACTCTGAAAACAACTGATACCGTGCACTTTGCGAGGAGTTAAAATAAGTTTCGACGATACGCACGAGTGAAATATTTTCCGCATAAACAGACCGGATCTTTAGTCTCTTAAAAGCCCGAAGGGGGTCCTGAATTCTCGTTTATTGTGTCCGTTTCGACCCGTCTCGTGCAAAATAAGCGCGCACTCGCAAGTTTTTCTGTCTTCCTCTTCTCTTTCTCGGTTATCGGGAGCGCCTCGGCAACGCAACTCACTCCGTGAGTGCATCTGGTAGCGCGCCTCGAAATTTTTGCAACACCCGAACATTGTGGAATGACTGCTCCGCCGGCTATTTATAGCGCGATCCGGCCTGCCGCGGTTTCGCCCGCACGCTTCTTACCTTCGTTCAGCTTTTGTCGCAGCTCGAGGGTCTGCTCATTAGGCGTATTGCTGTTGTGGTAAACTTTGTAGAGGTCCAGCTTTGTGTCGGCGAACGCCCGCTGCTCGAGGGCGTGGGTGCACCGCTCCACCAGAACCGGCGCCGAGTGGGTGACGATGTCGAATTGCAGGCACAGACCGCGACCGAACACTGTAAAGTGCGATAAATATCGTATATTGTTTAGTGCGACGAATATCGAGGTGACCGTGAACCGATCCCAACTCGAAATTCCACGTACGAATTCATAGAATTGCTTGCGGTGGGCAGATTTCTTTTTATCACGAGAAAGCATTTTTTTTTTCACACAACGCAGCGCGCTTAGAAATTGCGAAATTAATGCTCGAAATTTCAAAAATATATTTACGCGCACACACAACGTCAGGTTTATCGCGTCATTATAAAATGTAATGCACGTTATTATCGATCTTGAACTTTAGCCACGCAAGTAATTAGAGAATACAAATACATTTTATAATCGCATATTTTTCAACAATCCTTTATCGAACATGTTTCATCGGAGGAAAAGATAGAGCGACGCTTAAAGATACGCTCATTACACGGTTAAAATATAAACTGAAAGATCTTATCTACTTGTAAGATGTTTGATCGTATCTAATCTGATAATATCATGATTTTTCTTTTTTTTTTTAACAAAGTCAGCGATTTTAATATAACAATGTAGAATACGTTAGATCACCGGCCTGTATATAAACTTCAAGACAAAGTGTAATAAACATATTCCATTAATTTAATCCAATATTATCGATTGAAAGCACGCACGCCATATTTTTTGCTTCTCTCGTCTTCTTTTTAATAAGATCATCAATTATATCGAATTGTGAAACCAATTCATCTCGTTAATCTCACAATTTCAAATCATAAAAAAATAGCCGCTCCGGCACTCGCTTACTTAATTGAGACTTAAATCGTCCAACTTTAATCCTTACGAAGTTTAAAATGTTAAGGTCAAAGTACGCCATGCAAAGCGCAATCAATCGTGGGACGATATTAATTCGCAGGATGAAGCGAGAAGGCAGCCTTCTCGCTTGTCTCTTCATTCGAGAGACATTCGCGTTTAGCCGCGAAATTCGGCGAGGACAAAGAGGAATTCTCCAAGATTTTCTCGCGGTTCCTCGCAGATTTTCGCGCCGGTCAACTTTTCGGTCTACGGCCGTCCGTCTTTCTCTTCAATTTTCCCGGTTTTCTTGTATTTTTTTATCTCGACTGACGAACCTTTGACTTTATTTTCGCGCGAGGATATACGCGCGATCATATTTTTGCCGCCGCCGAACTCTTTTTCGCTCCCTCTCTCTCTCTCTCTTACATCACACACACACGCCACTTGTACAATCAAAGACGCGTGTATGCATGCATTATGACGAGAGAGAGAGAGAGAGAGAGAGGACGAGAGTGCGGCGAGCGGGTCGGACCTGGGCAGAGAACATTGCGTAGGAAGGGAGAAGGAGGAGGAGAAAAATTTATTTTTACGACCGCAACGGCGACGTCTTGTTTCTTCATGACCGTATCTTCTTCTTGTTCTCTCGAGAAGGACGAGTGACCGAGAGAGCAAGAGGGAGGGACGCAAAAAGGTCGGAATTAAAACACGATCTACGGGCGTGAACGCATGCGAATTTTATGCGCGGAGGATTATACCGCGGAGGACAGTCGGGCCATTCGATATTCGTCACGAATCCGCTGTTGCACACGCGAAAAATCTCGAGAGCCATCAGACTCGAATAAATCAATACGCGGAGACATATAATTCGAATTTTGGGGGTGACTCGCGGCTTTCGAAATTCAGTTTTATGGCGTCGATCTTAAAAAACTCTGTTAAAAAAAAAAAAAAAAAAGAACACGAAGCGAGAGATTCAAATAACTGAATCTTGGGAATGACAAATTACATTTGTCGCTGCGTCGTTGAATTTGCCGAAGTTAATGCGATGAATAAACGTAACACTGCAAATGCATGCATTATGCATCGAAAGCAATGATGTCGAGCCTTAGCAAATACAATTAAAGATTTAAATTGATTGCTGCGTCATTTTCAATCAACTTTTCAAACAGGACAGATGCAATGTGCGAGACTGTCAATGTCGAAGTCGCCGGCGTGCGGTCGCACGTGACTCGAATTTTTGCTCTCGCGGGTGAGGAGCGTAATTGCCGTCGTTACACCTCCACCGAGCGTGCAACCCGGTCGGAGAGACGGTAATGTGTGACTCGCGTATAAGCGATTAAACGCTACCAATTACTATAAATCAACCCAAGCCGATGCAACAATCGCATACACGTATGATACATGTGAAACCGCACCGGGGATTGTCGCGTTCGACGCGAGACACCGTGCCTTCTCTTTCGTAAAACGCGAAATTAGATTGTCCAATCGATGGGCCACATATTTTCGAGGGTTCATTAGATCTAAATGACCTCCGAATAAAGTGGATAACAAAATCAAGGCGTGATTAACGAGGCTCCCTCGCAATAACCTTCGTAATAACCCTCTCTACTCGTTGCTCGCCAAATTTATTTATCCCGTTGATACATAATTTATTAATTCATCGAGTTATATCTGAAAATTGTTATTATCGTCATTAGTCACGAGTGAGCATCGCGTTGGATAAACATTATCAGTCGGACGATAATTTCCAGCGATCGATGCACCGTCGCGCGATATGTACAAACGCAATTGGCAATGGGACCCGGAATAAATGAATGAAGGATCGGGGGCAGCGAGGCGACGGGGTGACACGGCCCTGAAGACTGGCGCCGTGTTCGCGGTTTTGCTATGCACAAATATTCGATTCCGTCATTCGTACCGCGGCGTGTGCAGCGTTAATTAAATGCATCATTGGAGGCGCGAACGTAGAGTCTCGCCTGCGTTGTCTCTACTGATTATCGTTGTCTGAGAGATACTCGCGTCGTTTAACTACCCGCTGTCAAAGGCACACGTCGCCAACTCCAGCTGGCGACTGGCGCGACTTAAGAAAATACCGACCATCTAAACAGTCCGTAGTTACAAGCACAAGTGAAGATAATTCATTATTGATACGTTGAAAAGACATCCAAGACGAAATTTTTTCAAATTTGAATCGCGAGATATCGTAAAGTTCGGTTATAAAAATTTAGAAAAGAAATGTTAAAAAGATTGGAGAAAACGAAATTTCTTAATTTCTCGAAAATTATTTCATAAATGTGAGGATATTTTGGTAAACTTGAGTCACTTTTAGCGATACTTAATTGAAAATTGATAAAACTCTATCCCTTTCTCTCTCTACTTTCTGTTAAAAAATTGTATCAAATGCTAAGATTTTGTAAATCGTCTTTCTCTCGTATGGATATTTTCCTCTGGCAGGGAATGCGTCGTAGAGCGAGGCACAGTCGTGTTGAAACTCGCACGCTTGGTTAAGAATCATTAAATGCCAGCAAGTGAGGCGACTCCCACGCGACCGCGAAGCGGAGGGATTTCAATGGAAGAAAGTCGTCAGCCGTGAAGTGCAAGTCTCCGTGAAGTGATCCAGGTTATCGTAGAGCGAGGTGCAGGAGGCGCAGCCAGGCGCCAGAACGCGCGTCCTTGCCTTGTTAACTTCGTAACTTCGCCATACGATTCGCCGGACCAGCCGGTTACGATGCCACCGAGCGTGTTTCTGACGCAACCTCCCATTTTGGAAGACAACTGAATTTCTCAGCGTCTCTTTTCGCATTCTATCTATTAGGGACGTGACGCAGAATTAACGAGCGTCCTGCATTTTACCTACTTACGACTGTGCCGCGCCATAAAATTTGCAACTGCGACGACGGCGCCGAGTCGGCGATTCAAACGACGTGACTTACCTGAAGTAAACCTGCCGATACGATTGTCCGTGTCGACCGATATGCAATTGGAAGGCAAACCCGTCTTTGAACACGTCCTGTGAGCGACCAGCCCGCAATCTATGCAATGCAGAAAATTCGCAAGATCAACAGCGCGAAACGCATAGTTTCTTTCTTTTTTCGTCTTATTGGTTCTAGGTTTAGAATTAATAACTGTCATGCAGGAATAAGCATGAAATTATGTGCTGCCGAGTATTTTCAATGATAAATTTTCCTTATAAAATCTAAAAGTCATACAATTATTTTATAAACAGGAAATAAAATCACTATGAAATATACCGCGGCTTCATTCAAAATTAATTAAAAATACAATGCAATTATAATTTGTAATTATCATGAAAAATATAGAAACCTAACGAATGTAAAAGATTAAATTGCGTGAAATGACTCTCAAGGAAGCTCCTTCGCGTCGACTATAAAATTCAATCAATTTTAAGTTTACTTGATGAATTGCGATTCGATAAAAGAGAAAACGGGACGTACCTTGACAGAGAAAGCCTTGATGTAAGAGACCCCTGAGGTATTTATGGCATTTGCCGCACTTCTCCAAGATGCTGAAGCTGTGCTGCGTGAGTTTGTGCGCCTTATTGACCACGTTGTTGCCCGAATAGTTGACTCCGAGCGAGCAGCCCGATTCCGCGGCGACGCCGGACGTCGGTATCGTTGTGACCGGGGAACTCGCCGTCTCCGTCGCCACTGGGGGTGGCGGCGACGATTGGCAGAGTTCCTCGATGCAGACCAAGATACTCCTTTGATGGAACTCATCTTTTATACCCATATTCTGCAACAGGATCACACGAGGCGATGTTCGCATGAAAAAGTATTCCAATGAAAAAGAACACTAATTTATCTTTAAGAGCGTTACGTTTCAGACTTAATCTTCTTGCGATGAGACATCGTAGTAGGATTTTTTATTTGAGACAACAAGATTCAAATAAAAAATCCTACTACGATGCAGCAAAATTCGAGTGCAATTATATACTTCAAATGTAAAGTTAAAGTACATAATTTTATTGGCTGATTTAATAAGCAAATGAAAAATAAATTATTGTAAATTAATAATTAAAATATTATTGAAGCGTATGTTTACTGATCAAATGATGGATCAATAGTTCTTCCTACTTGGCAAAAATTTTCATTGGATTATAATAACTTCGTAACAAGATAATTAATTAGTTTGAATATGAGTGTTGTAAAAAATTAAAGAATTAATTAGTTTAGATAAAAGCGTTGTGTGTGAAAACTTTCCTGCATAAAATATTATCCTATATAAAATATTTTCTTCACAATTTCTGTTACGACATCAAATTAAAATAAAAATAAAATTTTAGCGAATTAAAATTTTTTAATTATTCAAATTTTATTTTAGATTTGCTTATTTGTTATTATTCTCGAATATATGATATACGAAATATATAATGATACATATATAATTACATATAATACATGAAATATATAATAAATATATTTTACATAAACGAAATGAAAAAAATAAAATATCTCGAGTTAAATAATTTGAAATTACTAGTAATTATTATCACTTTTTTAAAAATATTTTTCTCGCACTCAATTTAACGCCACAGTGTGGCATCGAGTCGCAAAGATTTTTCCGTCGCATTATTGGTAAAAATGCGCGTGTATCTCGGTGACGGTTGTAAATCTGTAAAGGTATAACACGAGCCAAGAGAGCGACTATAAAGAGCGGGCGCATAACGCGTGTCAAAGTCGAGCGTGAAGACAGTTACATGGTGACTAATGAGGAAAAATAATGTACTCGTCATAAATAGCCGGAATGCTAACTAGAGTTCAACGTTTCAAAGATATAGTAGATTAAGAGATCTATCGGCTTACTTTTTTCTTTTCATCAACCACTTTTCATTAACCAATTATTATAATCTAATCTCTAATGACACTTTCGTTCAATTGCATGGTTCTGTGAAAATTAATTACGATCTATCATTTTATGTAGAAGCTTAAAACGTCTCTTATAGGTTTTTTTATGACAAACATAATTTGCTTGATAGAGAGAATCGAGTTTCTACTTTTGAAGGACCCTCAGAGATTTTCAGATAAAATTTTATTTTATTATTAAATATTAAAAATTTATTAACGTTATATAAATTGCAAAATATATTTTATATATTTCCTACATATTGTTTACATCTTCCAATTGGCGTCTAGTATATTTATACATATATAAGTTAGTTAGTTCAACAAATTTGCCGTAGTCATAGGCTTTCTAGATTCTAGCGATTGATCGCGATCGTTTGCGCTATAAATTATAGCATGCCTTTCTTTTCGCCAACGAAACTACGCAAAATACCTGCTCTCTAAAAGTAGCGATATCGCTAAAAAGAACGACAAGGGGGAGAAATAATTCGCGGGTACCGCAGCGGTAAATCAGTCAAGAGGAACTTTGAAGAGTCGGGGGCACCGCGCTCGTAAAAGGGGTGAACACACGGACGATCGTAATTTATATGCGTCGTTACGACCCTCGGTCTCTCTCACTCTCTCTTTGTTCTCTCTCCCGGCAAGCATCTCGTTTTCTCTAGAGCACGGCCGAGGCAACAGGTGTCGGGTGCACGCCGTTGCACAATACCTGCACTGCACTCGCGAAGAGATACGATGCACCCCGCGGTTCGCGAGTTAGCGATGCAGATCGCATTCGCATAATGGAAATCTTCGAGAGGACTTAAAATGTCTTTGCCATCTGCTCCAGTTTCTTTGTCACGAGATATTTCGTACGTTAATTATAGCGTTCGAATCGACACATGTAATTGTCAAAGAATGTAGCTGGTGCAAAGGACAATAGTTGATCGATTACGCAGCATTTTAAATATATAATTATATAAATATAAGGATGAGAGAGACATGTACAAGACTTGTTAATTGAGAATTAAATAAAAACTAAATTGGCGATGCAGATAAATATATGCGTATCGGGAAAAAAATATAGTTAGTGTATTATGAAAATGTCATAGTTCTCGAGATGCTTCATAATTAAAATATTGTAAATAAAAATATGATAGAAGATCGTTGAAGGATAAAAAATTAATGAAACATCTAAGTTGTTTGTATTAATATGAATGTATATATATATATATATATATATATATATATATATATATATATTCATCAATGTGTTGAGAACTCGTCAAATACTTTGACTGCTAATTGATTATAGGTAAGAATAAAACTGCTCGTGACCTTCACACAATGTAAAGCGATATGAGTGAATAAGTTCCATATTTGCTGCTGGGTGCGCTTGATGAGATAATCATCATGCGATTAATCGTATATTATAATCACATTATTTTAATTGACCTATATCGGCTAATCCAATGTCACGCACGTTTAGTTCCTCTATTAATTTTGTCTCGATGAATCACTTGACTTGTAGCTTTTTTTTTCTCGCGTTCAATTTAAATTCCTCGCATTCGCGTTGCTACATTTATAAGCGTGACCCGAACTGCATTGTTTTTGTCCTGTCGACGTGACTAACTGAAAAAAATTGCATTTTTTGCATTCTTATTACAATCTTTACTTTTTTTAAATATTTTAAAATTAGGATAGAAAAAGCACATATCTTATTAAATATAAATTTAAAAAACATTTTTACATAAAAATTACTTATAAAAATATTAAAAGTATCAAGAATTGAAAAATCAACGTACATATATTTCTTCTAAATATAAATTCTTGTAAATGTATATGAAAATGTAATTAAAAACCACTACGTTATATTGCAAACTTCGTTTTTGTAATACAGTCTGAAATGATGAATTGTTCGAGCAACGATCTCGTGAATATTAATTTTAAATCGGACTCCTACTCATATATATTATATTTATTATCATATCAATACATACACATGAGTTATTCGAAGTTTCAAATTTATATGTGAGTGTTATTTCCAAAAAGAAAGAAGCTGTATAAAAATTTCTTTAAGTGTTAAAAAAAGGAAACAGCACACGAGAGTACCCGTAATTATAATTTCATTTTACGTACACGTAGTCTTTATTATAGGAAAAAAAAAATAAATTCAATTCCAGAGAGAGATCGGGAGGAAGAGGAGGAGCGCTTCCGGCAGCTGGCTTCTTTTTCAGATTATGGTATTCGGTTGTGGGCGCACGTTCTCGCACGATGGCGCGCTATTTCGACCGGCGCCACGGCGCGCAGTGGGCCAAACGCTATTATTAGCGGCGACAAGCCAGCAAAAGTAAAGTGATCGATATATTACGCGGCCGTGCGAGAGCGCGGCGATAAAATTTGACGGGCTCGTTATTTTATTCCAAGTGCCAAGAAATGCTCGAGAGAATTCGCTGTTTCGCGACAAGGAGAAAATCCGCTCCGAGTAAAGATACATCTCCGCCGCAGTTTTTTTTCCCCCATAAAACGATATCGAAAGTATATGTGTATATATATATATATATATATATATATATATATATATATAAACACACATACATTTCTTAAAAAACAAGTGCTATTTTAAGAGAATCTATTATTGACCTTAATAAAGTAACTTCTTGATAATGAAACTTTAGCGACACGTCATTTCTGGAATGAAATAAATTCTTAATAAAATTGCGAATAAAACAAATTTCTCAATAAAATAACAATGAATATTTGAAATATATCTTAGACTATGGCGAAAATAATAATAAAATATAATAAAATAATAATAATAAAGTAACTTCTTGATAATAAAACTTTAGCGACACGTCATTTCTGAATGAAATAAATTCTTAATTAAACTGCGAATGAAATAAATCCTTCAATAAAATAACAGTGAATCTTGAAACAGTCTTGAAATATCTAAGACTATGGTGAAAAAATTAAGGGAGATTTTTTTGTCGCACGGTCAAAACAGGACAATTTCCTCTCGAAGGACGAGCCGAATCAAAGAATCAAACGATTTCTCGCACTAAAAGGATAAATTTATGACTCGATTAGCATAATACGCGATTTGCGTACGTTTCCTTGGCGAGGCGCATCTTTGTCCTGCGAGAAACGTGTCGAGGCTGAATTCGTGAATCCTTGAAAATCCGGAAAATCTAGAGAATTTAATTGAAAAAAACTACAGTGATCTATATATAGGAATAAATAATAATCCCGAGCGCGGACTGCGTTGATTTCACAATAATACGATAATATTTCTGCACAATTATTAATTCAAAGCCTGATTTTCAAACATGAATCTGTCGCATATCTTTGCAATTCAAGTCTCTTTTTTTTTTCATTTTTTTCATTACCCGCCCATACGTAAACGCGTGCAATTATCGTTATCGTAGAAATTGCCGATATAATTAAAGGCAGTTCGAAGAAACGCCCGTTTTTCCATACCGTATATCGATGCGAGAATACTTAAGCTAACACCGACCGGTGTAATTCGATTGTCCATCTTGACCCGTTACTCCGCGCGCAAGTTTCTTGCATAATTATGATAATGTGGCGCGTGGTAACGCACAGGGAAAACGCATGATACGATCATTACGCGCGACGTAACTGCTGAGAGTAAGAAAAGCGTAGGAATACATGTATGTGTGTGTTATAATGTGTATGTGTGTGTGTGTGCTTGTACATACATCATATCGAACTTTTCTCTTTTTTTCTAATACTAAATTAAGATGTTGAAAAAATGCCAATAGTTGAAATTTTTATACTGTATCTCGCTATAATATATTAATCTTATGTGTGTGTGTGGGCAATAAAATAAATATTGAAGTTACATTGGCAACTTGTTCATTTTTTCGTAGATATTTATATCAAAGGAAAGGTTTTGCAAATTTATTTAAGATTGATATTATAATAATGATATAACACATCCACGAGAAAATATGATAAAAGCAACATTTAACATTTGCATATTAATTTTATCCACGCAATTGCGTCAATCCAATATGAACGAATTCTCTGATTGGATATAAAATATCGTGTCTCGCAATGCGAAAAAAAAGCATCTTTATTCTACGTTTTGTAGCGTTGCATTTTATATCTATACCTCGGCGATGTGTGCGTTTTCGTTGCGACAGCGTTTATTTAGCATTTTAGCATGCACATGGCGAGATCATTAAGAAAAAAAAATTAGTCAGCCGATATAAAAAAAATTACGATTAATTTTAAACGATGAAACTGCTTTTACGATATATTTTGTAGCATTTCGTTTTACGTTTTATGCGCTAGCGATCTCTGCCTACGCTTTCAAGACCGCAACATTTATCTAATATTGTTTCAGCGTTATCAATCGCAAGATGTATATTTCGTATCTTATCCTCTAAAGGTTAAAAATATTTCTTTTCTAAACTCTTTGCATGCACAGTATATATATTTTATATAACAAACATCTTATGGTTATATTAAGAGAGAAGCGTTTATAATATTTGATTATTTGCTAAGTATTTTTTGAAAGAAATTTCTGAGAAACACCGCTAAATATTTCGATGTAAAATTCGTATAAAATAATAATAATAGCCTCCATGATAATAAATGTATCGTTACCTATGTTGAAACACCAAACTCCGCGAGTGGAGTTATAAAGAACATTATCGCGATATTCCGCGGCGCGGTAAATTATACATTTTACATTTTCATGCACTACGCAGTAATTCTACCGCAATGTTTGGCACTGATAGCGATACAGAAAGCGCCGCGATTGCATTGGATTAAAGTAGACGTGTGGTAATAGGATGCGCGACAGATGTTCATTCAAAATCGTGTCGGCCATCAAACGTTGTCAATAAAGACTTCTCGTCGAATCGCGTCTATTAAGAAGATATTAAGAGAAAAAAAAATGATAAGTGCATCGGGGAGCTGCGCCAATAAGTGATCTCATTAAATCCACCGCATACCTCGTGTCGATTTTACGTGTTAGACTTTACAATAAGCATGTAATGTTGCGAAGATAAGTCAAATACAAAAGCTTCTCGCGCGGCGACAAGAGGAGAATCGTCGAGCTGTAAGCTCCAAATCGTCGCTTCGCGACTCGAAGAAAAATCAACGCTGAATGGATGAAAGAGAGAGATGTGTAGAGAAAGAGAAAGAGAGAGAGAGGGATATTCGATAAAGACTCGACTGTGTGGCGCACTTTAGCAGACGCTATAGGGCAATTACAAGGTCAACGGGCCAAGGAAAACGTCGTCCAGATACTCTCGACTCGAGGTCATCGTCTCTCCCGAGCACTAGCCGAAGAATTTTTGATCGCGCGATTCCAACTTCGATCCCGACACGACCCAAAACGAGCAAAAAGTAAGGGACTAATGATTCAGAATAAGAAATAGAAAAATTTTCTCTTATAAAGATTTTCTCTTATGCTATATAATTTAAATTTTTTTGTTTCTTTCATCTATTATTTTATTTCGAAATTCTGAGTTACATATTAGGACATTTTTTATAGTATTTTTAGAATAGTATTGCTGTATGTGTGAAAATGTTTCTAATATATTAATAGATATCCGAATAATGTAATTCTCAAATTTTACGCAATTTTTAGACGGACTAGAGGAAATGATTTATTTAATGGAATGTTAAAATGAAATGTACGTATTTCGCGATATACTCTTCCTCTTTAAAAGATTAAAGATTTTGACAGAGGATAAATAAGTGGGATTTTTTTATCGGTCATAAGACTGGTCAAATATACAACGTTAAAGTTTGAGAAAACGCGCCGGCGATATATCGAATTTAAACCTGAAGAATTTAAATCTGTGCGGATTCTAAAATTAGAAATACAGCACATAGCAGACTGCTGACGATTACATGTCGCAGAATTAAATTTCAATCAAGCAGGATCCAGGAAAATAAAGAACCTTAATTTGCAGTTTAGTTTAGCCTACTTCGTGAGAGCGCGCGTTTCATGCATCATTAGTATGCATCGTAAAAATCGGGCAGCGCCCCGAGAGTACATTCGACTCGCCGGACAGATATCTCTCTCGATTATAAGTTAAATAAACAATCTTTCATGCGATCGTTTCCCGCAGCAATCGCTTCGATGTGGCACATTAATTCTTACTGCTAATTAGTTTTAATAAGCATCTAACAGTCGCATTTCTCTAAACCTCGGTCGATTAATGGGACGGGATTAATTAATCGATCGAGAAGAAAACGGCCGGCTATCATTAGCGAAATCGTCGGCCGGTGAAGTCTTGGAGCTGCCGGTGAATTCGAGAAAAATTCCGTAATAATGTAATTAACTGTTGGCAATGAGCTACGGTAAACTCGCGCGCGAACGAGGACATTGCACTATCGTTCATTAACTCAGAAACTGTGTGTTTCGAGATTAATATTAAGCTACGCCTTAATCGGTTCCATGTCACCGTTCTTTTGCAATTAGAGGAATACGAATGCGTTGGAAAATAAAAAAGCCCCGCTCAACCTTTCCTGCAATATACCAGTTTTACGAGTTGCTCTTTAATTAATGATTTCTAATTGTAATTGACTTTTTAGTTACTTTATATATCGCATCTTTTGTTACCGCTTCTCCATATCGATGCATTAATCTTGTAACCGGAGTAAAGTAGGGTAGAGTACATTATAATGACTCTACTATATGCCCTACTCTCTATTTAAGTATCTGCCTATTCATTAAATTAAATTATTGTAATCTGCTTGCTATTATTAAAATAACTATATTAGAGTAAAAGCAGAAAGTAAAGTGGCATGATAATGGAATAAAATTTATCTTGATTATAATAATCTAATATCGACGGGAATATCCTGAATGTCCCACATTCAAAGTTCTTCCGTTCGAAGCGACTCCCAAGCCGCTAGAATGGCATTGGTTACTTTAATCCCAAGATATATAGACGACCGATATGCTAATATATAATTAAGATGATCGGCTTACCATGAGCTTCTCCCGATCCAGATGAAGCAGATCGCTGCCTTTGATGTCCTTCGACTTGAACACGTCCGCATAGCGGTACAGATTTAGGGCTGACATCCATTCAACTACGTTTAATGACGTCCACTCACTGACGGGCTGTGAACAGAGAAACGAGACGTAGATTGTAGGTGGACATCGATGGCACGAGAATCAGCGACGACTAATCGAGCCAAGTTCACTTGCGCACACACGTGAGGCGCATTTACACAGCTTGTGCTACTGGCTATCATCCCGGCTAAATTGCGCGAATTGTAAAAAGATCAATCGAAATAAAGTACAATCAGAAGGTTTTCGGCAGAATAGAATAACGGAATAATTTCCACTAATAAAAAAAATTACAATAAAAATATATATAAGATGTCTTATTTCAGTCATGCATGAGAGATGCAGAATCTGATTTTTTTCTATCGAGGAAAATCAATTTCTCGTAATTATCCAATTTTCCAATATTAAATATTTTTAATAATATTCAATAAATATTAATAAATAATAATAAAATAATAATAAAGTTAAATATTAATAAATAATTTTTAATAATGTTTAATAATATTTAATTTTAATAATATTATTTAATAATCCAATATTAATTTTTAATTATTGGTCAGAGACACGATATTGTGTGAAACTAAAAATTTTTATTTAAAATTATGTCGCGAGTGAATATCATTAATGATTTGTCCCCGCTTTAGAATAATTATCATGATATCAAATAAACATTAATAAGCATTAAACTCTATTTTTGATAATGAATAAAAAATTAAATCCGTGAAGAACATCAACAGCGAATCGTGTAAAGTCGTCTTTAACGCGTATGATTAATCGATTCTCTTTGCAAGCGGAAACGAATAATGAGCCGGAGCGTTCCGTCCGCCAGCCAATATATACACGCTTATTATCCTCGAGATTTTCAAATGAGGACGTGTGGCAATTTTCCGGCTTCGCCGAGATCCATCGAGACTCGTGAGTTTTTATTCTAGCAATCGTCATGTTAATTCCTTTCTAAATCTACAGTTCCGAAACCGTTTTATGGAACGATTTATATAGCAAATTGAAGTAATATTATAGCTAATTGTTCGAATTAGAAGAGTGAAAGTCGGAATAATTTAGATCTCTTCAGATATGTAATTTCAGATACTCAATTTTTTCTCACTAGTAAAGAGCAATGTATTAATCTAATATGTATTAATCTGGTATTTGGAACTGTTACTTTTATCAGCATTACATTTTCGATAAAATAACAGCTGAAATATATATATTTATGAGTAATTTAACTTAAATAATGCCTCAATTACGAGTCTCAAATAATCTTGTTACTAGCAACCTATATATTATCATTAAGATAAAATCTTGATTCGATTAAGATGTCTTCTGTGTACAAGGAATTTTAGCAAGTTTTACAATTCTTGTAATTACCTCTGCAATAAACGTGCAAATTTTTTTAAATTTAATTGAATCACTTTTATTTGCTTTTGTATACATACTTAAAAAATATTACGATTTAATCATGATTTATATTATCTCTATTATAGCGCACTTCAGAGAACACATCTATAATCATATTTCTCTTTATCATTATATGATCATTTAAATGGAAACTAAATTGCTTCTATCACTTCAATCACAATAACGATTTTTTATGAAAATTTTTAAATTTAATTAAATTAATCTCCAATCAGAGCTTTTTTTCTGTAAAAACAACACAATATTTTAAAAATTTGTTTCATTCACTTTACTTAAATTAAAAATAAATTAAAAATAGATTAATTCATATTAATTCAAAATCTTTGTCAATTTGAATCGAATAGAAAATTCAAATAATTTTTATTTAATTATCGATAAATTATGCCTTCGATGATAAAAGACACACATGTAATGTTATCATACAATTATAACATTATTTCTACTCCTACGATCGATAATTATGATTTCCACATTAATGATTATTTAATGCATACACATAATATGCATAATATAATACTTACACGTGTTTGACATTTATTTATTTATGTACGTAAGCATGTAAAAAAGCGATAAAAGGAATAAAATGTTTCTTATTACTTTTTTCCCTCTTCTGAATGGCTCTATTCTCTGTCTAGACAAGCTGTTGTTATCTGGTGTCGATCGCCGAAGATTACGTAAAAACCAAGCTCGCTCGAGCGCGCGCGAGGAGCATCTCCCGATTTTCTCGATCCCCAAGATACGGAGCGTCGAACGAACGATGCGATTGAACGCACCATACGAGCGTCCAAGTCCGATTAGATAAATCGACGGATTGCGATCGCGGAGGCGCGGCGAGACGGACGGGGACCGCGCGATGCGATACGAGAAGAGAAGAGACGTCTCCATGTATCGTCGGCTGCCGTTATCGAGCAACGCGCGCCCGATAAAGCAGGAGAGTGAAAAAAGAAAAGAAGGAAAGGAAAAAGCGCGGAAAAGAGAAAAATGTAACCTCCCCAAGTCGTAACCCCGAGCCCGCGATGGTGACGACAGTCGCGAGATAAGGCCTCGTCCGAATAATTCACGTCGATCAGCAACGCGTGTACATTTGCGCGTCCGCTCGATCGACACGCTCGGTTAATCCGCGCCGAGATCATTTCTTCCTCGCGCTCTGTATCCCACGGATCGCTGACGTTGCGAATTTTTGCGACCCGATCCGTCATCAGTTGACGGAGACGCCTGCCATGGGGAACTTATTTCGCGGAAGTTATCATCTCTGCGACGGAAATCCTACCGCGATAGAGTGACATGCAAATAAGGATGATTTTATCGGAGTCATTCTTCGAAAAAAGTTTCGTAATAATCAATGGTGTTCGGACGGTATCTCTAAAATAGAACGCAAAGAGGAGCTGAGAAAAAAATCGCTCATGATCTCAATAAGTTTTAGATAGTCACGAAAAATGATTTTTATCTTACACTCATTAAATTTAATTGATAATATCTATAATCTGCGCGAATGCGTGTACTCCGTTCCATCGTCCTCTACTTTTACGCTGCAATTAAATGTAAATGCACCAGACTAACTTCATTTAATCTGTTCAGTCATCTGTGACATACTTGTATGTTTTGTATCGCTGCGAAAGGTTATTTTAATTTTCTTAAATTGCGATGGTTAAAAGATTTAGAAGGCATTCATCTCGCATTTTTCATGTTTAAATGATTAATTTCATTACAGCTTTCACTTATCGATTTTCATTCTGTACAAAAATAGAATAGTAAGACGTAATTATTTAAACTCTGCATTAAATCTATGTTAATTTATGTAAAAGAATTATTTTAAAACCTGCATTATTTTATAATTTTGTCTAATTTATATTTTTGCGAGAATACTATATTTTTTTAATATTATCGTTTTTTTTTAAGTACACCGTGATTATTAAATTTTTAATGTTATTAATTTTGTTTTTCCTCTCTCTTGTATTAATAAGAAATACTCGTAATCTTGATTTTAGTTTGATATTTCATTCACTTTAGTTCCAGCGTATTTATACCTTTCATAAAAAAGGGACAGCGTTCGAATCTTTTGCTCCTTTTTTCGCTTCAATTTTATGCCGAGCGTTGTCGAATCTCGATCGTTACTCCATCGAGCCTTAGGCAAGTCTCGCCCTGATAACGAAATGCTCACACGTTTATGTAAAATTCGCGACTAGATACGCGCCTCGGGATAAACTTTCGTAGTCGACAAATAACGGCAGCGCTATGTAAATCTTATATCTGGACAGACTTCAATTCAAAACTGAAACAGTTAACTTTTCCTTTATATCGAGACGATATATAATATATAAAAATAGATAAATATCATTAATTTATAGTTAATGCTTAGTGTTTGAATATCAATTATTAAATAAATCGAAAAACTTCAAAATTCAAAAAATAATAGAATTAAATAATTATTAAATAATATAATAATATAAATAAAAATAATTAAATATTCATCGCGTGTAAGAGGACGAAAAAAAATCTCAACAAAATATAAAATTTTTTCACGGCGAAAATTTTGTACATTTTTACTATTTTATGCATTACAAATTTTTATACTCATGATAGAGCGCATTAAAATTTTCTGCATTTGCTAAAATTTGCCTTAATCACTATAAAATATAACTAAAAATATATTTGCACACGTAGACTGGAAATACTTTTTCTTTTTTTTTCGACGTTCTTTGCATCGTCTCGATATAGGTAAAAACTTTTTATTTTAGCATTGAACATTATAATTTTGCCTTGGGCATTACACGAGATTTCTGCATTTTTGTTTCGTTAAACTGTGATAGTGCATGCGCGAAAGATAATTCGATCATGTGAAATTCTTGTATAGAAAAGCTGTGACTTGCAAGTCGATTGCAAAAAAATACCGAATAGTACTAGTAAAAATAAAAATATTTACTGCTAAAATGTGTGGATTTCTCACAAATCAGCATTTTCTTCAAGACACGAAGAGAACTATTCCGACCAAGGTATAATAATGCAAAACATTTATTTGACCGATCGACGAAAAGAATCGTATCCCGGGACGATTCCTGGGAAATACTTGGAGACGCGGAGACTCGACTCGAGTCGACGACTAATTCGAATGCGCGCATCGTTCGTAATGTAATGAGAAGGCATTGAAGGCGTTTACTGACCTTGTCCTTGTCGTGAACCTGGCCGGGTAGCGCGTGACCCTTGGTACTCCATTGGCACAGGTGCTGGCTGCTGTAGTCCGAACACACGATGTGGAAACACGCGTGGCACTCTGCGGGACATAGAGAACCGCACATGCAGCAGCATAGACTACTACTATTAAAACTATCGTCGCGCACCGTTCGTCTCGCGGCCGGCCCTTCGTACGGGGTGGCCGCGCTCTTGCCGCCCTTGGCGCGATCGCCGATCGAGTTCGCGTCAACGGCCTCCGCCAGGCCACCGGCAGGCTGGGTGCCGCACCAACACATGTACCGATGAAAGGACACCAACCTCGCGCACACGAACTTCGTGAAACCGAGCTCGCTCTCGACGCCCTCCGCCAACGTCGCGGACGTCGTTGCCGTACGCGATTGCAGCTGCAACTGCTGCTGCGGAGATTGTTCCTCGGCCGTCACCGTTCCCTCTCGATGCTGCCTCGTCACCTGGTTACCATTACCACCGGCGTACCATCTGGGCGACACGTACGTCCCCGTCGATCTCGACGTCGTACGCGTGACATCGCACAGCTGACCGACGTTGACGTGGTCGCCGCCGCTCGTGCCGTACGTTGTCAGGATCGACGGCGCGGCGGCCGAGCCGATGGCGAGACCCTGCATCTGCCGTTGCAGTTGCACGCTCGCGGAACCGTTCAACGACGACGACGGCTGCGACGACGAGGAGGCGGTGGACGACGTCACCGGCGTCGCCGTCGTCGCCGCGGCGCCCTTGCGCAGCATGTAGTTGTCGGAATCGACGGCTAACAATCGCGACATCGCCGTCGACTTTGCCTTGTTGTCGTCGTTCGTGCCGGGGCTGATCTTCGGCGAGCCCTTCGGCTCGAGCCAGGTGGATATCGTCGCAAGTTGCTTATCCTGCTCGTCGGCGCAGGAGTCGCCGACCATCGCCGTGCTCGCACTCATCGTCGTCGATATTGGTCCGGGAGCGAACAACTCCTGGACCCTGGCCTGGTGATGCACCTGGGTCGCGGCGGCCGTGGCGGCCGCAACGGATGCGCTCGTCACACGTTTCATCGTCACCGTAGCCGATCATCAAGCGAGCGTACGCGATGAGACGGCTAAGTTTTCCTCGACGACGTCGACGTTCTCGCAATTGGCGCCTCGCTACTCGACCCGGGTGACCAGGAGTCCTGCTCCTTCCGCGGGCTACCCAGGTCCCCTGACATCTTTTCGAGCTTCTCTCCTCAAGATTCTCTATTCGGTTCTACGCGCTCGATCGATTCCGTGATACTTGAAAACACACTTGGTCCTTCGACACACGCTTTATGATTAAACGTAACGCACTAATTCACATAAATGTTGAAATATATCTTATATTTTTGTTTTCTGTCTTTCTAGAAATGTTCGAGTTTTTATTCCGTTATAATTACTGAATCGATTTCATTTGCCTACGCGATCGAAAATTTTATTTATTTTACTAGCTAATTCTGGCATCAATTGTAGAATACGGTTTGACGGCATAAAATTCTTCTTATCGTAAATTTCCTGATAAGTTAATTCTGATCTTAGGTATTCTAAAGACCTGAGTATTTTCACTTTTGTTGGCAAATTTATTCCTCGACTAAATCTTGTGGATTTTATGTCATCGAACACTTCATTATCCTCGTGCCGCCGTTAATTCTTCGCACGGCGACCCGGAGAAATTCTTCAAGGCCGTTGCAAGTATGGTATCTTTATCCGGCCGATTGATATCGTTCTCTCATCGATCGAGATTCCGATTCTTTAAGGATTCGTCAACGTGATCGACGCCCGACCGGTGTGACTTTCGCTGTTATCGCACAGATTCCGCAGTTGTTATTAACAAAGGTAACGTGCGGATAAAATGATAGATGAACAGTGGGAAATGAGGGAAGAGAGAGAGAAAGAGAGAGAGAACGAGTTACAAGGAGATGGACGAATAAGAGAGACCAAGATACAAAAAAGGAGAGAAAGAGAGAGAGAGAGAGAGAGATAGACAGCCGCTCCCGTGGGTGTGACTCGTGTAAATTCGTTTTCCATAAATCTCACTCCTACCACTCTCTCGTAGTCGCGCGCTCAGCGCGCTCTCACACACGACCTTTGTATAAACGCCGAGACTCGCCGAGCCGAACGAAACCGGTTTTGTCAAGCAACGACACCGAGCGATTTTCAAGCGTAGCCCCGCGCGAGTGCGAGCGTACAGGCGATGATCTTCGTGGGTTATCGAGAGCGCGAGATCGGGAGTAAATTCCGGATGATATCGGAGCAAGATCGTCTGGGAAGGAGAATCGTCCTGGACGAATCAATCGAACCGATCACCGCCGGATTATCCTCGATTATTAATGGTGGTCCGTGCCAAGCGAATCTATGGCGCGCCCGATCTCCTCGATTTTCAAAGAGTCGTTCATCATCACGTCCACTCGCCAAGATCCAGGATTTTGCTCGCCTTCTCGGGGAATCGTCGACAGTGCGCACGTGGAGATCGAAGAGTCTCGTTCTGGTTCGATTCCGTCGAGGAAAGTGTTGATCCGGATCGAACGATCGTCCACGATCGTTGTGTGCGAACGTGAAAATTACTCGCGGATAATCATGAAATCATCGCGGGCACTAATAACGTTGAAGCAGTCGGCTCTCGTGTCCGCCGAATCAGCAGTTGGACTCAACTCGAGACGGCGAGAGCTCCGCTTATCGCCCGGGTTCGCGCTGATCAGCAAGTAGATCCTCTCTTCGCTTCGTCCCGCCGTCCTCGCCGCGTTGTCCGCCGAATGGTGCGAGTAAAACGTGGGTCGCCTCCTCTAATCTCCCCCGATGTGACGATGGCGAGCTAATGTCGGTCGCGATACAGCTCGATCACGTAGCGCCGGATGGCCCATCAAGGACACTCGGTTGCTTCCTTTCTTCTTTTTCGGCTTCCTCTTGCCTTCCTCCGCGCTGTCGACCGCGATTAAATCCACCTAGTGCCAAATCGCTGACCAAGGACTCGTTTTCTCCTTCGCAGATCTCAGTTCCTCTTTATTCTTTCGCTTCCTCCCTCGCTCTTCCTTTAATTCGCCGATTCCTAACAAGATTATGGCACACGCAGCATCGGACGTAATATCAAATTGAAAAGTACTGCGTTCCCCTCGCCGGATATCGCCGATCGGCTCTTCGTTTCTTTCCTTCCTTCTTTCTTTCTCTCGCAACTCGTTCTCGCACGGTCGACCGCTTTGCTCGCCGGATCGCACCGTTCGTCCTTATCACGTCCACCAGAAAGCCGCGACTGCCAACCGCCGCGCTCGTTCGCGAACGCTAGTGTCTCGCTGGATCACCGCCACCGTCGTCCCGATGCTTTACCGACCGCGAGTCAACGCTGAAGTTGGAGTCGGAGTCCGTGTGTATCAGGTTCGTTCGCTCGCTCACTCTTGTTCTCTTTCTCTCTCTCTCTCTCTCTCCCTATCTCGGTTCCCCTCTCTTGCTCTCCTTCTATCTTTCTCTCTCTCAGCCGGCAAGGTAGACCTTGGCGGACGATCCTATTACCTCCTCTTCTCTCTGTCGACGAATCGCGCTCGTTTCCACCCGGTAAAACCGTCCACGTAGGTATTCTGTCGACGTCGGCGCCGCGACGTCCACCTCCTAGTCCCCCTCTCGAGGATATCCCGCTATCTCTTTCTTCCCTCGCACTTGACGCGCGTACTCTACGAATCCGAGTTAGCTGCCCTTCCGACCGCTCTCTGTCCGCTTTCGCCCGCTTCTCCTCTCATAGCGGAATTACCATATAAATCATGAAGAAAGAGAAGAGTCGGTCGGTCGGTCGATCGGTCGCGGCTCTCGCTCGTCCTCGTTCGCAGGTACACGGCCGAAAACTCGCCGGTGTGTCTGTCTCTTTGCGAAGGCGGCGCACGCACTCTCGCGCATACATGTACGGTGAGGAGGGGGAGAGAGAGAGAGAGAAAGAGAGAGAGAGAGAAAAATAAAGAGAGACAAAGAGAGAGAGAGACACGTATACACGCACGGACGGCACGGACGGACGGCACGTACGCACGCACGCACGCACGTACGTCGCACGCACGTACGTACGCACGCACGCACGCACGCAGTTCTCTTCTTCGGTGATGAAAAAGTCTACGGAGCACTGCACTTTTTGCAACCGGCGGTCTGCCTGAGCCACGCGCGCACACCTGCACACGTCACTCGTCGCACATAGATACACGGACACCTATCTATCTGCCTATTCCTCTCTCTCTATTTCACTCCGCGTCTTTCCCACACTCGATCTTTCTCTTTTTATCTCTCTCCTTTCCACCATCCCCTCCCACCGTCTCTCTCTTTCTCTCTCTCTCTCTCTCTTTTTCCGGATCGCTCGTTGCCGCTCTCTTCGTTTTCTCGTGGGATCGTCTCTGCACAGCCGGTCGATCTCTATATGTCGAGTGTTGCCCGTGGACCAAGACCCTCCTTCTCTCTTTTTCCTCTCGTCGTTATCTTTCTCTCTCCCTTTTTCTTTCTCCGTGCTTCCTGGTTCACTCTCCTACTCCGGCTTTATCTTTCGCGGCGAGATGTAGCGGATCGTACGTTTTGGGGCTTTCACTCGGACTGAGCCACCGACGATGATGATGAGACCAGGCAGTGTCTTTGTCTCTCTACTTCCGACTTTACTCGCTGATGTATGGCGAGGACGTGGTGCGAGAACACACCCGGAGATCGTCGACGCGATCTGTCATCCATCTGTCCATCTATCCGAAGCGAGAGCGATCTTGGGGCATCGTCGCCGCCGGACTACTCTTCTCCTGGAGGGTTCTCTTGGTTGGCTCTACCTCGATTTGACTGGACGGACAGGCTCGTTTGCTCGTTTCCGGTTCTTCGTCACCGATTCTCGCGACGACACACCGTCTCGTTTACGTGGACGGCTTCTTCCTGACCGCGTAGGAGAATACCACACCGCCGGCGAAGCGCACAGCTGACCGGCCGGTCTGCCAAGCTCGGTCAATAGCCATAGCCAGTCGTGAGCTGCTGCCGAGGGTAGCTCGTGGCTCGGCGCAACCACACCTCGGCCATCTCCGACACTTGTCGGCTTTTCCCGTGGCCTTTACGATGGCAGACTCGTATCGGGATGATGCCAGGGCCCCGAGTCGTTCTATACAACCCGATCGAATCGCTTGAATGGAAATTTCCTGCCGAACATTCCTAGGCAACGAGCGAATCGACTCGGTTCAACTACCGAGAGTACGCTTGGATATATTATCCGTTTCGAAATCTGTGATAACTTTTCGAAGCTTTCGTAATCATTTTATATTGGGTCATCGTAATCTTTTAATAAATGATTTCCGATATTAGAAATCGGCAGATTAATTTCTGTGATAACAAGTAGATAACATAAATTTTTTTGTTCGATCCAACTTTTAGTTTACCAAGAAATCTCTATTATTCAATGTTTATATCAGGTTAAGTAACTTGGAGACTAAAGATCAGATTAATCGACTACTTCTTGAAGTAAAGAGTAAATAAAAATTATCTGTTTGATGAAACTTGATTGTTATATTTAATTTTTCGAGATACTAGGAGATTCTTCTTACTTGATAGCGATGTTAAACTACAATAAGAAGTCAGTAAAATCGGTTCTGGGATTGAAAAGATGCTTGATTATACGAGTGCATTGTGCATGCAAAGTCGTGCTTTAAACGGAGCTCGGTTGCGAATTTGCTGATATGCTTTCAAGATTTTTGTCCTTGTGGCCAGCTTCTCTAGAAGAATCAGCGCTAAAGATACTATCCTGGAAAAACTGGAGCAGTTTCGAGGTCGAATCTGTCTTGTCGTAGGCTCTGCCGGGATGGCAATAAAGATAATAAATTGACGTGTTTTCAACTTCTTTGTCTTTGCGCTCAGTTTTTCAAAAAAAAAAATGACTAATAAGTCGAAAAAGATTTTGACGTAATATTCTCATAAAAAAGAAACAAAGACATTAATGTTGCTTCCAGGTCCCTCGGAACGATGACTATTTTCTTGTACACAGATTCGATCGCAAATGGAATTTCATCGCTATGTGAGGGTTCAGATCTTCAATGAAAAGACTTACAATATCCGGCGTTCTTCTTACTTATTTTCCAGTTAGTTGTGAACTGTCCATTTTCGAAATTGAAATTAATTCTTTTGTCTTTTTTCGTTTTCATGACAATGAGATTAATCGCTTGTTCGTGATGACTTTGTGCGCGATAGCTTCGACGACGAAAATTCCTTGTTCGTTTTCATGCGAATTTTTAAACTCGCAGCTTGATTTTTTTCTCGAATTATTTAACGAAACTGCGGCGAGCGCGCACGAGAAAACCGCTTCGCAACGGATATTGATCGGGCAACGAGAGCGAGCGTTGACATGAATTTTATAGTTAACATGGCATGCATGGCTGGCGGAGGTTGATAATGCTCAATCAAATTCACAGACGTCATTAATAATAAAAATAAATAAATCTTAGAAACAAAAGCGGAAAAAGTTCTGTCTTAAAATTTATAAAAAAAAAAAAAAAAACCCGATAGATATCTCTACTGCGCGAGAAAAAATGTGTTTTCATTCCTATCATAAATATGTTATATTTCGCACACACAATAAAATAAAAACTGTCCATATTAAATTTGCAATTAAAACTTTGTCGTTGTCAGTCAAGGATTTTTTTCAAATTACAATGATTATAACATCACTTATCGGAAATAGCAATTAAGAAATAGCATTTAAAAAATAGCAACATTTAAAATAATACAACAATTTGTAATAATAGGAGAGAAATTATGGAGAAAAATTATCTTGCAAAATGCATGTTATTAAAATACGAATAATATATGTGTGCGAAACATTGTAATTTTAACGCTTTATAAAACCGTTTACAAGACCGTTTCTTTTTAGAAGATTGTTTGTCCGCCTTTATTTGACCTGATAGTTCGATCGATTGCCTAATATATAAATACGATTCGAACGATTAATGAAAAATTATCATCGAATCGTAATCTATCAGTTCTCTTATCTAACAAGAAGACCAGCTGCGATAAAAGACTGAGCACTCATCGGAAGCATCTGCATTAGCTTGTGTATATAAAGATCGCTGTTAAATAGACAATACAACGTTCACGTAACGAGAAAATAATAAATTAATTTTATTACGTACATCGATTCTATCGATGTACGTAATTCGCTGCTCTGTCCTAAAAGCTCTGTTTGAAACTTTTCGTGAAATTCATTTGTGTCAGACAAAATTTTAATTTCGTCAATGGTTGTGATTAATTAGCTTAATCTATATTTCTAGATAACAATTTTTTAAATCCATTTCGCAACGAAAAAAAATTATAGTTATTCGTAATCGAAATAGATGCAATATACTAGAGATATTTATTATATTTTTATTCAAAATTATATATTTTCAAGACTACTTATATTATAGTGTATATATATTGTAGTACAAAATAAGTTTACTTGGAAAAATAAATAAATAAAAATAGTAATTAAAAAATATAATAGTTTATATATAAAATAAGAAAAAATAATAAAATTTGTATCACTTGTAAAAACTATGTTCTATCGCTTATAAAAACAATGATAATGATATCCAATAAATAATTGATCGCGAAAGCTTTGATTTTCCAATCAGTTGAACGGAAGGAGGCGAAGACCAGCTAACGAGGCAATTTAAGCCCGAATTTCAAGGATGCCCTCAAAGGGAAACACGAAAGGGCTTTTGATCAGCCCTGCATACTCGATCGAGCGTCAACGTCGATACCTTTCGTCCGCGATCGTTTGCGCAAAGCGTATGCATTTTTTTCGCTTTTTTTTCAGGCTGAGCATATATCCTCGATTGCGCTTCCCCGGCCTGCCACGCGAGATTCTTTTACGAGCGGATCCGACATTCGCTCTTATCGTAAAAGCGCGCTGCGTGGGACGACGCAAGCGAGCGGACGAAGGGACAGGGAAAGGGACGTGAAAGTGAAAAGCGACTTTCCAAGCCAGCCGGTGCGGCGAAGGGTCCCCGGCGACGAAGGATGATCGAACCCTGCGGGCGAACGCGCCTGCGCATCGTGACAGGCACGTCCTGTTCAAGGTCACAGGGCCGCCCACGCCGCACAACCGTCCCTTCGCCCAGCGAAGACCCGGTGCCCTTTATTGAAATTCGGCGGATCGATTGTCGTGATTGTGCGAGGAACGCTCTCGACGACCCGCCCTCTCGACGATCGCGAGAATATGTTTAAACGCGATTGCTCAGAGTTATTCTATTTTGAGATTCTATTCGAGCACATCTAAAATATGCAATTTGTCTGCAGAAAAATTACCATAATGACGGAATGTTGAACGATCAATGGGAAAGAGGAGCTTGGAAAATATTTTCGTTGTACAGAAAAGTGTATGTGAATTTCTCAGCTTATATATATTATTTAACAGATCCCTCTATATATTTCATTACAAAATAGTCATCTAAATTTTTCTTAGATATAAAAATCGTCAAAGTTTTATAAATATTGTATATTTATCAATCAAGTTTTTTGAAGCATTTGAATTAAAATAAATATCCCAAACCATTTTAGAGATTTAACTTCTTTAATATTATCCTAATTATAAATCCTATATTTTTTGAATATATTTTTAGAAAACAATTTAATGTACCTTTAAATGTTTAAATTAAATGTTCAAATTATCCACATTGATCGAAAAATTCTTTTAACAATTCTTCTACAATATTTGCTGTATCGCTTAGCAAAAAATAAACGCAATTAACGCTTTCTCTTATCATTTTTCTTTACGCTAACAATTACCGAGTTCGTTGCACCGTTCGCGTTGCATGCTCGCCGTACTTATTCTCATCGGGTGCAGATCGCAAAACGCGCTGCGAGACACGTTTCGCGGCGATTTCGCAGGCCGCTAGATATCTCTAACAGGCGCACTCACGAATCGCACTCGATAATGTCCAACTATACACAATTCCAACAGGCAGCTGAAATAACACGCGACAAAAACTGGAGGTCCCGGATGCCTGCGACGGGTGTTTACTCGCGAATTTATGGCGCCGATTCGCAAGCGATCGCAGATTCCATCGAACGTGATGCGAATTCCCGAGCAGCGAGCGGGCCATCGATCGCGTGTTCGCATAATCCAGGGATCGATCAGCCGAGCATATTGGACTCCGCTCGTTAAGTTTTGCTCCAAGATGAGAGAAAACCGATGTGGAATCACTCGAGGAGCCGAAAGAGTTAATGAATTATTTTTATACTTAAAAAAAAATTTAAATTTGAAATAATCATTATGTGATAGTTCGTGACAGGTGATCATTTTCAAAATTCCCTAAATAGAATATAATCTCAATTATATTAATTTCAGAATTTAAAAAACATTATTTCCCTCATTGTACTTGTTTGTTAAACTTAAAAATACTCTAAAGGTCCTAAAGGATTAGATACTTCGCTGTCCTGACTGAGATAAACAACAAGGGAGAGCACTTGTTTTCGTGGCGAGGTTGCAGCGCTGGTTGCACGTGATGCGTGCGGTACGAAAGTATCAAGAGGACAAAATGGAGCAAAAAGGAGCCGTTCGCTCGTATTATACGGGCGCGGCCAGCCGCGTCAGTGCTGGTTGCACTTAATGATCGACGGAAGCTGCATCGCATCGTATTCGTATTATGCGAATGTGATTGCTATGCCTTTATTTAAAATATGAAATATGGAATATAGAAATTTATATATATATATATATATATATATATATATATATATATAGAAATTTAAAGTACAAAAAAAAATATATATATATAATTCTTATCAGGTTCTTTACTTTTCTCTTATCTTCAAAGCAAGTTAAAAATAAAATAATATTTATGCAAAATAAATTTCATGCTTTTTTAAACATGTTTGAAAAGCCGAATCTACTCTAACAGCATAAAAAGTTGATAATTTTTAAGAATTTGTTTTTGAAGAATATTATAAACTGATCTTTTTGGTGTTTTATACATGTTTTTGTCGATATTTAAACAGTACGTCAGTATTTTTACATCTTGAATATGTAGCTCTCTTTTTGCTCTTTTAAGCTTTTGCGTGTTCAAAAACAACGGTGACATGCTGCTTCTCGTAATTATCGTATAATTATCCGAAATGAAAAAACTCGGTTTAATTTTATACCACAGGATACTTTTGGAATATTGTAGACTTAATTAGAATTAGAAAATAAAATTAATATTATTGTGATCTCCAAGAAATAAAAAAATTTCAGCAAAATTGAAATATCTAATTTTGAAATGACACTATTTTGTTATTTTTCAAT